GTAGCCGTGCTACACCCCTGACGTCTCATCTCATTAACATGCAGGTGGGTTAGCTGTATACAGCGCCTGACGGTCATCATCTCATTAACATATCAGTGGTACCGTCTTACAGCCCTGACGTTCAGTCATCTTATTAACATGCAGTGAGGTAGCCTGTCTAAGCTCCTGACGTTCATCATCTCATTAACAATGGCAGTGGGTAGCCGTCTACAAATCAGCCTGACGTCATCAACCTCAGTTAACATGCAGTTGGGTAGGCTGTCGACGCGGCCGGCCTCTTACTGTCATCATCATCATTTATAACATGTCAGTGAGTAAGCGTCTACATCCACTTGACGTCATCACCTCATTTAACATTGCTCATTGTGGTAGCCTGTCGAGGCCCTGACCGTGCCTTCATCTATTCTAACATGGGCTAAGTGTACAGCTTATTCCCGTTAGCTGTCTATACATTCTTTAAACATTTTGGTAGCTGGTCTACAGCCCTGTATCTCACCATGCTCATTAACATGGCAGTGGGGTAGTTCTAAAAGCCCTGTACGTCATCACCTCATTAACATGCGGTGGTAGGCGTCTACCACCCTGACGTCCATCATCTCAGTTAACATGCATCGGTAGCTGTCTACAGCCCTTACGTCATTCACCTCATAACATCGGCAGTGGATAGCTGTTCTTAAGCAGCCGCTGACTCATCTATCTCATTAACATGGCCAGGGTAGCTGTTACGAGCCCTGCGTCGACCATCTCATTAACATGGCAGTGTAGCTGTCTACAGCCTGACGTCATACCTCATTAACATGGCAGGTGGAGCTGTCTTACACCTGCACTCTCATCTCATTACATTTGGCTATGGTGTTAGCTGTCTACCAAAGCCCGACGTCATTCTTCTCCATTAACATTGGTCAGTGGGTAGCTTTACAGCCCTGACGTCCATCATCTATTAACATGGCGTGGGATACATAGACATAGGGCTTGTCGACTCCCACCTGTACGGCATCACCTCATTAACATGGCACGTGAGAGTAGCTGTCGACCGGCTCCCTGACGTCTTCATCTCATTCACCATCTGCAGTGGTAGCTGTCTAACAGCCCTGACGTCATTTTCACCTCATTTACACATTAGAGCACTGTCAGGTATGCTGAACTAAACAGTCCCTGAGTCTGTGCATCATCTCTATTAACATCGGCAGTGGGTAGCTGTTACAGCCCTGACGTCCATCATATATTAACATGCAGTTGGGTAGTGCATCACGCACCTGACGTCATCACCTCATTTACATGGCAGGGGTAAGCTGTCGAAGCCGACGGTCATCATCTCCATTAACATGGCAGGGGGGTAGCTGTCTACAGCCCTGACGTCATCAACCTCATGACATGGCAGTGGGTAGCTGTCGACATCCCTGACGTCATATATTCATTATAACATGCAGTGGGTAGCTGGTCTACATGCGCCTGCCGTCATCATCTCGATTAACATGCAGTGAGGTCAGCTGTCTACCTACAGCCTGACGTCATCATCTCATTAACGATGGCGTGGTAGCTGACTGCAGCCTGACGTCTCACCTCTTAACATGGCAAGTGAGGTAAGCTGTCGACACCCTACGTCATATCTCATTAACATGCATGTGGTTAAGCTGGTCTACATCCCTGTTACGTCATCTATCTCTATTCACATCTTGGCAGTGTCGGTAGCCTGTAATACGATGCCCTGAACGTTCAATCCAATCTCGAATTACATGGCATGTGGTAGCTGTCTACAGCCTGACGTCATCACTTCATTAATTGGCAGTTACGTCTAGCTGTCTACGGCCCTGACGTACATCACCTCATTAACATGCGCAGTGAGGTAGCTAGTCTACCAGCCTGATCGTCTATCACCTCAATAACAGGGCAGTGTATGGATAGCTAGTCTACCGCCCTTGACGTATCTCTCATTAACATTGGCATGGTGTTGAGTAGTCTGTCGACTTGCCTGTACGTCATCATACTCATAACATGCAATCTGACAGGTAGATGTCTACTAGCCCGGACGTCACCATCTCATTAACTGCAGTGCGTGTTCTAGTTGTCTACAGCCCTGTACGTATTCAATCTTTTACAATGGCAGTGATCATACGGTACGCTCGTCGACAGCCTGAGTTCATCATTCTCCATTAACTGGCGTGGAGTAGCTGTCTACGCGCCTGATCATCATCTCATTACTTGCAGGGGGTAGTCTGTTCTAACAGCTCGTACGTCTTTTTCATCACTCATTAACACTGGCAGTGCTGTGTCTAGCTTACAGCTCCCTGACGTCACTCATCTATGATATAAGAATACATGGGTAGCTGTCGACAGCCCGTGATTCATCACCTCATAACATGGAGCAGTGGGTTAGCTGTAACTACATTTCCTTCTACCCTTATAGACTTATCTCCATTAACATGCAGGGGGTAGCTTCTACAGCCCTGAAACGTCCATCCTCCATTAAACATGGGCATGGGTAGGCCGTCTACATTCCCTGACTTCATCATCTCATTTAACATGCTGGGAGGGCGTACAGACCTGACTCCATTTTTTTTCATCTCATTAGCATGCGTGGGAGCTGCGACATCGCCTGACCTCATTCATCTCATTAACATGCAGTTGCAGGTAGCTGTCGACGGCTGCCTACCGTCATATCTCATACATGGCAGTGGTAGCGTGACTTGCAGCCCTGACGTCATATCTTCATTAACATGGCAGTGGGTATCTGGTCTACAAGGCCCTGACGTCATTGATGTCCATTTAACCATAGGCAGTGGGGTAGCTGATCTACAGCGCCTGACGTCATCATTCATTAACATAGGCCCGTGGAGTAGCTGACTGCGCAGCGCCTGACGTCTCATCTCGATGTAACATGGACAAGTGGGTAGCTGTCGACAGCCCTGTTGACGTCATCATCCTCCATTAACATGGCAGTGGGTAGACTGTCCTACAGGCGCCTGACGTCATCATCTCATTAACCTGGCATGTAGGAGTAGGCTGTCCATTCAGCGCCTGACGTCATCATCTCATTAGACATGGCAGTGGGGTACTGTCTACAGCCCTGACGTCATCATCTCAGTAAACATGGCAGTGGGAGCTGGTCGCGGCGCCTGTACGTATCACTCATATAACATGCAATGGGTAGCTGTCTACAGCGCCGGAAGTCATCTCTCTAACAGAGCAGTGGGTAGCTGTCTACTAGCGCTGACGGTCATTCACCTCTTAACATGGCAGTGGGTAGCTGTCTACAGCCCTTACGTCAATCACCTCATTAACATGGCAGGTGTCGGTCACTGTCTACAGCCTGGACTCATCACCTCATAAATCATGGCAGATGGGTAAGCTGGTCGACGGCGCCATGACGTGATCAAGTCCATTAACATGCAGGGGGTAGCTGCTCTACGCCTGACGTCATCATCTCTTAACATGGCAGTTGGGTTAATCTGTCTACAGCCTGTAGTCATCATCTCATTAACTTGGCAGTGGTAGCTGTCGACCAGCGCCTGACTCAGCCATCTCATTAACATGCAGGACAGCTACCCACTGCCATGTTAATGAGATGATGACGTCAGGGCTGTAGACAGCTACCCACTGCCATGTTAATGAGATGATGACGTCAGGGCTGTAGACAGCTACCCACTGCCATGTTAATGAGATGATGACGTCAGGGCTGTCGACAGCTACCCACTGCCATGTTAATGAGATGATGACGTCAGGGATGTAGACAGCTACCCACTGCCATGTTAATGAGATGATGACGTCAGGGCTGTAGACAGCTACCCACTGCCATGTTAATGAGGTGATGACGTCAGGGCTGTAGACAGCTACCCACTGCCATGTTAATGAGATGATGACGTCAGGGCTGTCGACAGCTACCCACTGCCATGTTGATGAGGTGATGACGTCAGGGCTGTCGACAGCTACCCACTGCCATGTTAATGAGATGATGACGTTCGTTACATAGATAATGTATGATATAATAAGTTCATCGGCATATCATGCTCTTCTCAACAACATAACAGTGTTCTAAGAACGCTATAAAAGTTACAGCACTCACAAAACAGTAGAAGCATCATCGACACTAATAAACAAATGTAAACATCAACATATAAATAAAATAATACAGCCCTGCATGTGCCTAACCCTAACAGAAGTAGAGAACAGACAGCCTTAACCAAACCATTGCAATAGTGACACCTAAGTGACAGTCGCTCTCACACTGTCATCACGCTGCAGCATAGCAGACAGGTGGGTGAGGTGTACCTTTAATGATCTTGCGTAGGTAAGGGTCAAGGTTGATGGCAAACAGGTGGTTGAGGTGTACCTTTAATGATCTTGCGTAGGTAATGGTCAGGTGATGGCAAACAGGTGGTTGAGGTGTACCTTTAATGATCTTGCGTAGGTAATGGTCAAGGTTGATGGCAAACAGGTGGGTGAGGTGTACCTTTAATGGATCTTGCAAGGTAAGGTCAAGGTTGATGGCAAACAGGTGTTGAGGTGTACGCTTTAATGATCTTGCGTAGGTAAGGGTCAAGGTTGATGCAAACAGGTGGTTGAGGGTGTACCTTTAATGATCTTGCGTAGGTAAGGGTCTGAGGTTGATGGCAACAGGTGGGTGAGGTGGTACCTTTAATGATCTTGCATAGTAAGGGTCAAGGTTGATGGCAAACAGGTGGCTTGAGGTGTACCTTTTATGATCTGGCGTAGGTAAGGGTCTAGGTTGATGGGCAAACAGGTGGTTGAGGTGTACCTTAAATGATCTTGCGTAGGTAAGGGTCAAGGTTGATGGCAACCAGGTGGTGAGCGTGTAGCTTTAATGATCTTGCGTAGGTAAGGGTCAAGGTTGATGGCAAACAGGTGGTTGAGGTGTACCTTTAATGATCTTGCGTAGGTAAGGGTCAAGGTTGATGGCAAACAGGTGGTTGAGGTGTACCTTTAATGATCTTGCGTAGGTAAGGGTCTAGGTTGATGGCAAACAGGTGGTTGAGGTATACCTTTAATGATCTTGCGTAGGTAAGGGTCAAGGTTGATGGCAAACAGAAGGAAGAGTCGCATGTCTGCGACGGTGAGCTTGACGCTGACGCTGCCGCTGCTCAGAAACACGTCAAACTTGCGCGGGTTGCGGTCGATCTCCAGCAGTGGCTCCACCTCCTTCATCGTCGGAATGTCGTCCTTGATCCTGCGACGACAAGCGAGCATCCTCATGACATCGTGCAATAAAACCATGCCGTCAATCGAGTCGTGTCGCTAAGCTTACCTTTACAGCCGAGTCTGTATACCACAGTCAAGAGAAACCCGATTGTCCTTTATAGACAGATGTCCTTTATAGACAGGGTGTCTTTATAGACAGGTGTCCTTTAATACGACAGAAGTCCTTTATAGAGCAGGTGCCCTTTATAGACAGGTGTCGCTTTATAGACAGGTGGCCCTTTATAGACAGGTGTCCTTTATAGACAGGTGTCCTTTATAGACAGGTGTCCTTTATAGACAGGTGCCCTTTATAGACAGATGCCCTTTATAGACAGGTGTCCTTTATAGACAGGTGTCCTTTATAGACAGGTGTCCTTTATAGACAGGTGACCTTTATAGACAGGTGTCCTTTATAGACAGGTGTGCCTTTATAGACAGGTGTCCTTTGATAGTCATGCAGGTGTCCTTTATAGACAGTGTGTCGCTTTTATAGACAGGTGTCCTTTATAGACAGCTGTCCTTTATAGACAGCTGTCCTTTATAGACAGGTGTCTTTATAGACAGGTGTCCTTATAGACAGTGTCCTTTATAGACAGGTGTCCTTTATAGCCAGGTGTCCTTATAGACAGGTGTCCTTTATAGACAGGTGTCCTTTATAGACAGCTGTCCTTTAGACAGTGCCATTATGACAAGGTGGTCCTTTATAGACAGGTGTCCTTTATAGACAGGTGTCGCTTTATAGACAGGTGTCCTTTTATAGCCAGGTGTCCCTTTATAGACAGGTGTCCTTTATAGACAGGTGTCCTTTATAGACAGGCTGTCCTTTAGACAGGTGTCCTTATAGACAGGTGTCCTTTATAGACAGGTGTCCTTTATAGACAGGTGTCCTTTATAGACAGGTGTCCTTTATAGACAGGTGTCCTTTATAGCCAGGTTTCCTTTATAGACAGATGTCTCTTTATAGACAGGTGTCCTTTATAGAACAGGTGTCCTTTATAGACAGGTGCCCTTTATAGCCAGGTGTCCGTTTATAGACAGGTGTCCTTTAGCCAGGTGTCTCTTTATAGCCAAGGTTTCCTTTATAGACCAGATGTCCTTTAATAGACAGGTGTCCTTTATAGACAGGTCGCCTTTATAGCAGGTGTCCTTTTATAGACAGTGTTAAGGCGAGGCTGTCCTTATAGACAGGTGTCCTTTGTATAGACAGTGTGTCCTTTATAGACAGGTGTCCTTTATAGACAGGTGCCCTTTATAGACAGGTGTCCTTTTTATAGAAGTAGTCTTAATGTATAATGAGTGCCACTCGTAGGAAAATCAGAAGCCTTCTCTATAGACAAGTGTTCGTTCTACATAGGTATCCACTTAATTTCACCTGTTCCACTTGTTATGCTACCTGTCATAGGTGACATTGCTATCTCGTTTATCCTACCTGTCATAGGTGACATTGCTATCTCGTTATCCTACCTGTCATAGATGACCTTCAGTGGCAGGTTGTCTCCAAATTTGCGCTCTTCCTCTCAAAGAGAGGATTACGCCAGGATATTCTGTAGGGCCACTGTTCAGTGATGTAGACCCCACGAGCCAGCTTCAGCCACTGGAACTCTATACTGAAGGCACGCAGCACCGACCTACACACAGAAATAGAGAGAGAAATCAAGAGATTTCTCCTGGACATACAGTTATCCTTCACGTGTAAAGCAGGCAACACTCGACTGTACATGAATGGGGTGAGAGGCATAGATCATCGTAGATAGACTGAGCACCTAGGTAATGTGGAGTAACTTTCATAAGAGAGTTGAGTCATTTATTCCTACCAAGAAACAGAAATACAAGCTCACAGACAGAAAGACGGATGTGAAGGATAGTGAAATATTTGATGGAGCAAACAGACAAAAATACGGATGCAAGAACTGTCAGACAGAATGACAAACAGTCGGCCGGACGACGGACAGTGGGCAGTGTGAAACACATGCACACGTACCCGTGATGTAGACTATGTTCATGAGGCGACGCATGTTTGCGTGGGTTGATGTCACTGAGTAGTCGTGGTTGCCGACAACCTTACTGATGTCGCCACGATGACATCGGTGTGTGAGACAGATTGCTGCTTCCGACGACGACGTCCAACGGCGAGCCGACGTCAACCCCCCTCCACCCGCGCCGCCGCCCCGGCAACACCCCGCCGGTTGAGGAATGGAACGATCCGGCCGTGTTCGAGCGCTGCTTGCATTTGTGCTTCTTCTTCGCCTTTGTGACGTCCTTCAGTGACGAAAAGGTGTCCGAGTGAGACGGTAGCCCTGCTAGAGACAGATGGTGAGACGGTGAGCCCCTGCTAGAGACAAGACGTGAGACACGGGAGGCTGAGGCCTGCTAGAGACAGACGTGAGACACGGGAGGCTGAGGCCTGCTAGAGACAGACGTGAGACACGGGAGGCCGAGTCCTGCTAGAGACAGATGTGAGACAAGAGTCCTGCTAGATGACCACGCCCTTTCAAATATTGCCCCCTATCGGTGGGTAGAACTAGACCAGTATGAACGTGTTATTAACGTGCCAATATATTTATGTTCCAACACTTCGTTGCTATGGTTCGACTTTAGAACGTCCTATCGCGACAATGATTGGCTAGAACCACTTGTCAATCATGCCAGGTGAATAGTTAAGTTGGTGTAGCATCACAAATAGAAGTTATAGGATATTACACTACATGGTTTGCTTAGGGAATGCAAGATACGCATCATATGGATGCATCTACGACGTATTTCTACTTAGCAGTTTCTAATCGTATTGCCTGGAATCCTTTTTTGTCGTCTCCAAAGCTTCGATGCAGTGACGGAGGCACTCCATTCTGTGCAACTTTAACCTGTAACACAGGCAGTCGCAGACGTTACCACGCGTTGCTGATGTAACACGAATATGTGTGAGTGTGTGAGAAGAACTCAACTGTATCGCCACAACAAGATCTAACGTACTACACATTCTACCATTCTTCCACCGGCTGAACCAAGGCAGGATAACTAAATCATCATCAGGGTGTGGCTGCTATGCGGAGGGAGCCACTGGTCGTGAGTGCGAGCGTGAGAGCCCACGACGGCCGTGACCCCTGGTTACCATGCTTACCTGCTGTGCGAGCGCGGGATTCTGCAGATAGAAGGGCAAGTGAACGAGATTCCTCAGGTAGTCCATGCCGGTGATGCTCGACTCGTGGAACGCGCTGTGAAGGTGTTGTTCCAACGCCTTGATCGTCACCTGAGGGTCGATCGTGAGAACAGTGATGAACGGCGACTCCTTGTCCGTGAACAACAGCAGCACCGTGTCGAGAACCTGAGAACAACAAACATGTGTGCGTGAACAGCAGCACTGTATCGAGAACCTAGGAACAAGGAACATGTGTGTCCGTGAACAACAGCAGCACCGTGTCAAGAACCTAGAAACAAAAAACATGTGTGTGCATGAACAACAACAACACCGTATCGAGAACCTAGGAACAACAAACATGTGTGCGTGAAGAACAGCAGCACTGTATCGAGAACCTAGGAACAAGGAACATGTGTGTCCGTGAACAACAGCAGCACCGTGTCAAGAACCTAGAATCAAAGAACATGTGTGTGCATGAACAACAACAACACGTATCGAGAACCTAGGAACAACAAACATGTGTGCGTGAAGAACAGCACCGTGTCAAGAACCTAGGAACAAGGAACATGTGTGTCCGTGAACAACAGCAGCACCGTGTCAAGAACCTAGAAACAAGGAACAGAAATGTCTATGAACAACGAATGAAACAGTGTTCCTAACAACAGCGGCATCAGCACGAGAACACACAAACGAGGAACATAACAGACTGTATGTGAACAACCACAGTGCTAGGCCGAAAACCTAATAACAAGGTTAGCCACGAACGTAGCGTGCGTAAGAGAGAGGAGGAGGAGGGGAGCTCCTCTGTTCGTACCTGTATGACCTTCTCCTGCTCACAGCTGTCGAGGCCGTCTACGATGACAACGAGGCGGGTGTCTGTGTTCGTGAACGCATCGATGCACTTCACCAGCTTGTTCATGTGAGCAACCTCTAGCTTCAGACTCTGAATGAAGCCTGCAAACAGAGAACGTGCCGTGAGATGCTTTATCTGCCATGTTAGGCTGCGACTTCCTCCTTATGCTCGCCATGTTAGGCTGCGACTTCCCCCTTAATGCTCGCCATGTTAGGCTGCGACTTCCCCCTTAATGCTCGCCATTTAGACTTTTTTACTCTAGTCTCTGGCATCTCAGCTTCTCTCCTCATCCTCTCATCTACCATCCTTCCCATCTCCTCTTCTCCTCTTCTCCATCCCTGCTTTCCTCCCCTCCTCCCTCCCCCACCCTATAATGAGTGCCACTCGTAGGAAAATCAGAAGCCTTCTCTATAGACAAGTGTTCGTTCTACATAGGTATCCACTAATTCACCTGTTCCACTTGTTATGCTACCTGTCATAGGTGACATTGCTATCTCGTTATCCTACCTGTCATAGGTGACATTGCTATCTCGTTATCCTACCTGTCATAGATGACCTTCAGTGGCAGGTTGTCTTCCAGATTTGCCTCTTCCCTCTCAAAGTAGAGGATTACCCAGGATATTCTGTAGGGCCACTGTTCAGTGATGTAGACCCACGACGCCAGCTTCAGCCACTGGAACTCTATACTGAAGGCACGCAGCAGCCGACCTACACACAGAAATAGAGAGAGAATCAAGAGATTTCTCCTGGACATACAGTTATCCTTCACGTGTAAAGCAGGCAACACTCGACTGTACATGAATGGGGTGAGAGGCATAGATCATGTAGATAGACTGACACCTAGGTAATGTGGAGTAAACTTTCATAAGAGAGTTGAGTCATTTATCCCACCAAGAAACAGAAATACAAGCTCACAGACAGAAAGACGGATGAAAGGATAGTGAAATATTTGATGGACAAACAGACAAAAATACGGATGCAAGAACTGTCAGACAGAATGACAAGACAGTCGGCCGGACGGAGGGACAGTGGGCAGTGTGAAACACGTGCACACGTACCCGTGATGTAGACTATGTTCATGAGGCGACGCATGTTGCGTGGGTTGATGTCACTGAAGTAGTCGTGGTTGCCGACAACCTTACTGATGTCCCACGATGACATCGGTGTGTGAGACAGATTGCTGCTTCCGACGAACGACGTCCCAGACCGAGCCGACGTCAACCCCCCTCCACCGCCGCCGCCGCCCCCGCCAACACCCCCGCCGGTTGAGGAATGGAACGATCCGGCCGTGTTCGAGCGCTGCTTGCATTTGTGCTTCTTCTTCGCCTTTGTGACGTCCTTCAGTGACGAAAAGGTGTCCGAGTGAGACGGTGAGCCCTGCTAGAGACAGAGGTGAGACGGTGAGCCCTGCTAGAGACAGACGTGAGACACGGGAGGCTGAGGCCTGCTAGAGACAGACGTGAGACACGGGAGGCTGAGGCCTGCTAAGAGACAGACGTGAGCACGGGAGGCCGAGTCCTGCTAGAGACAGAGCGTGCAGACCGAGTCCTGGCTAGAGTGACGCACGAATACCCTTTCAATATTGCCCCCTATCGGTCGGTAGAACTAGACCAGTATGAACGTGGTGTTATTAACGTGTGCCAATATATTTATGTTGCCAGAACAGCTGTCCGGTTGGCTATGGTTTCGAGTTTAAGAACGTCGCTATCGGCGACAGATGATTGCTAGAACGCATTGTCAATCATGGCCAGGTGAATAGTTAAGTTGGGTGTCGCATCACACAATAGAAGTTATAGGGATATTACTACTACATGGTTTGCTTAGGGATGGCAAGATACGGCATCCATATGGCTGCATCTACGACGTATGTTCTCGCAGTTTTTCTAATCGTATTGCCTGGAAGTCTTTTTCTGTCGTTCCAAAATGCTTCGATGCAAGTGCCGAGGCACTCCATTCTGTGCAACTTTAACGCTGTAACACAGGCAGATCGGCAGACGGTTACCACGCGTTTGGCTGATGTACAGCGAATTATCGTGTGAGTGTGTGAGAAGAACTCAACTGTATCCGGCTCAGCAAGCAAGATCTAAGGGTACTACACATTCTACATTTTCCACGCGGCTGAACCAAGGCAGGATAACTAAATCAATCATCAAGGGTGTGGC